CTCGAGGCAGATCGGGCACCGCGACCCAAACCGCGCCGACAGCGGTTCCCGCTCCGGGTTCGCCTCCCGCCGAGCGCGGGCGGCCTCGTGTTCCGCGGCGATGCGCGCGCGGACCTCGTCGGCGTGCGACCGCGGCGCGGGGCCGTAGAACACGTCCCGCGGGGGCGACGGCGGGGGCGTCGGCGCCTCGGCCTGCGCCACCTCCGCGGCCTGGATCTTTTTGCAGACCTTCCGGTGGCCCCGGTCGCGCCAGTCGATGCGTTGGCAGTTAGTCGAACAGTAGGCCGTCGTGCCGCACCCTAGGCAGGCCTTGGCCTTGTCGGCGCCGCAGATCGTGCAGGTCTTGAGAGTGTCGAGTTTTTTGCCCTTCGCTCGGGCCATGCGATTCTCATACTCCAACTTCTTCTCCCGCCACGACATGATCTCGGCGCGCGTGCTTCACCGGGTTGAGTCGCCAAGGTCCTGGCTCTGATGTCCAGGCGGCGAAGCCACGAGTACAGCTGTAGGGGGGGACACTGAAAATCGGCCGATCGCAGATCGTCGAATTTGGCGGCGCCGCCCAGTGCGATGGATAGAGGGCATCTAGCTGATAATCAAAGAGTCTGGGTTCGTGGAAATCGATCCGGATTTCGTAAAGTTATGGCTTCGCGAAGCCTCGGTTTTTTTCCTATGGGGCTGGACGAATCCCATTTCGTTCAAGGCTGGAAAATGTTGAAAATCGCGCCGTGTACACCCGCGTTTTCTTTTATATGTTCCATGGGGCCCGGCCCAACGTCGATCGAGCCAAAAATCTTGGGTGTACACGGCCGGGAAGTCGACCTACGCGTCTCAGGCGTAAACAGAGACCCCAGGCGAAATTTGAGGTAATTATCTTCTGTCCGAGCTTCATTGTCCGCCCCTAACGGTAGAGCGGCGCGGCCCGGCTTGAGGCGGCGTCGGCTGGCTCGGTCGAGATAGTCGATCGCCAGGAGTCGCCAGGCAGTGCCAGGCCTTCGGTTTCACCACAAGGCGCTCGCCTCGCCCGAGCGTGCACGCGTCGACGTCGACGCCGCGCGACAGGGACCGCGCGTGGTCGACGGGCTCGACGCGCGTCGCGAAGGGACGTCCACAATTGAACGACACGATCGCCGAGTAAACACTAACAACACCTTATGGACCTCCGCGCCCGCGTCGCCCTCGCCGCAACAATCATCCTCTTCCTCATCTTCACGAGCGACGACGTGCTCGTGCCCCTCTTCGGCGAGCGGTTCCCGCCCTTCCACCGCAACGACGTCACGTTCCTCGTCGTCTCGCGCGCGCGGTCGGGCACGGACTGGCTCGATTCGATGCTCAACGACGCCGTCGACGTCTGCGCGCGCGACGAGCCGCTCGGCGACGTGAACACGTGGCGCAGGGCCGAGGCGGCGGCGGGCGTCGAGACCTCCGAGCTCGACCGGCGGCACGCGGCGCTCATTAAAGAGAAGATCCACGCGGTCACGTTCGGACAGTTCACCAAATACATGACGCGCGACAACGTCACGAACCACCACGTGCGCTGCGACGACGATATCGTGACGGCGCGGGGCTTCAAGTGGTTCCACATGCAGGGGGGGATCTGCCCCTACGGGGAGGGGAAGTACTGCGGCCAAAACCCCGCCGTCGACCGCGTCTTCCGCGACTGGCTGCGGAAGCACGAGGTGCGCATCATCATGCTCGAGCGCCACGGCCTCGCCAAGTACGTCTCGGGCCTGCTCAAGACGAACCAGACGCTGCCGAAGCACTGCGAGACCGCGGCCTGCGTCGCGCGCGTCGGCGAAGTGACCGTCGACGTGTCCGTCCGCAACC